CACCTCAGGCTGGTCCCTAGAGGTAAACCCATTTTTTAAAGCTATTTATTTTGGTAGTTGTCTCTAAATTTTAAAGTAATTATGTACATTTTACTATTACTAGGCTTATCTATTTTAGACATTGTCTTCTGTGACAGATTAGTTCTCTTATCCCTTAATTCCAACTTAACAATATTTTTTCTTTTATGATTTTGTGTCCTAAGAAGTCTTTGCTTTCCCTGTGTACATTTAGTTCTGTGATCCATTTCAAGTTGACGGTGGGAGGTAGGGATCAAGGTTTGGTTTTGCCTTTTCCATGCGGGTATCCGTTTGTTCAGGTATACGTTATTTTGTGTTCGTGGAGATGCATCTTCAAGGTAGAGTCCTGGGAGAGGATTTCTGGGTCAGAGAATGATTTACTACGCATTGCCGGGTGCCGAGGGTGCCTTGTTGTCCTGGAGTCCACCAGGGGTCCAGGAGACTGTGCCTGTTGGCCTGTAGCCTCACTGGCAGAGAGTGTCAAGTTTTTGAATTTCTTCAGTCTACAGTGAGAAATAATATCTTAAAGCAGTGTCCATTTGCATTCCTCTTAACATGAGTGCCACTTAACGATTTTTTAACAAGTCACACATTGTTGTGATTAAACACATATTTGGACTGACTTTCATCATCTCATTATGTGTTTTCAGTTGACCGTGATTTTTCTTTGCTTTTTTTCCTGTTCTTTGCTGCTGCTTCTTAACTTTTGACCTTTTTTTCTTTTACCTTTTCCCATTTTTATCTATTTCATTTTTCTTGACCTTAATTTTTTTTATATACTTATACTTTCTAGCAAAGTTTCAAGGTGATCATTGTCTAGCCTTCTCACCTCAAGAACCTTACCTTTTCTAGTCTAAAATTCTCCTATATTTGTGCTCACTGTTTTCTAGAGTTTTAGTTGTAACTTGTTGTTGAACATACACGTTTTGCACTGTTTTTGTTTAAGTTCTGTGGAGCTCAGCTGCTTGGGTTTGAATCCCAGATCTGTGCTTTATCAGCTGAGCAGACATAGGTAAGTTCTTTCACCTTTCTGAGCCCCCTTTTCCTCATCTGAGGAAGTGGGACGTAATTGCGTCATATAGGAGCCATCTAGAATTCAGTAAAGTAAAATCCTATCACATAACACTGAGTTAGTTAGTGCATATAAATCATTTAGTGGAATAGTTCTTGATGTATTATAAGCACGAAGTAAATGTTGGTTGTATTATTAATATTGTCATAGTGCTGGCTTATTTTTCTCCTTTCCCAAGTCCATAGTTGAGCAGTTCTAGTAGGGGCCTGTAGGTAGGGTGTGTTAAAGTAAGGTAGTGGTTATGCTGGGTGTAGTATTTTAGGTTCTTAGTTATTTTCCTTGAGCACTGAAGATAATACTTAATATTATAAATCTGTTGGTCTTTCTTTATAAGTAATTGGTACGCTCTGTCAATTGACTGTTGAGATTTTGTTTTTATCTTTATTTCTGCAGTTTCTTTACAGTGTGGTAACAAGTGGATGGTTCAAAATGTGTTCTGTGGACACTTGGAATTTTTCAATTACAGAACTCATGTCTAACTTGAGTTTTTGAAGAGTGTGAGATGTTAACATCTTTAAAGACGTTTTTCTTCCTCTTCTCTTCCTGAGTCTAGTAGCCATAGGTCACTGTTTCCTCATCTGTCATTCATTTCTCTTAGCCTCTTTTTTATATTCTCTATCTTCTATTTCTCTGAACTGATTTCTGAGAGATTTTCTTAATTTTTTTAGTTTGCCATTTTTTCTCTTTGCTTCTAGCCTAATATTTAGTTCATCTTTTGAGTTTTCACTTTGATGACCAATTTTTATTGCTTAGAGTTCTAATTGGCTTTTTTATGTTTATCTGTCTTTTCACCTATTTTGTTTCATAAATACTGTCCATTCTTTTATTTCTTGGATATTTTATCTTAAAAGTTTTTTAATTTTACAAATTTTTATTGGTACATAATTACTGAGAGTAAAATGTAAATGTGCAGTTTAATGAGTTTAACGGAAGTTTAAAGCTGTATCACCCAAATCCCTATGAAGATATGAGCATTTTCACCTCCCCAGAAAGATCTTCTGGTCCCCTCCCCTCCAAACGCAGGTGTTGCTTTCTATCCTTATAGCTTAGTTTTTCATGTTTGTGAGCTTTTTTTGCTTAGTCTTAATGTCTGCCAGGTTTCTCCTGTTCCATAGATGAGAAGTTCCATCCTTTTTGTTGCTGAGTAGTGTTCCATGGTATGAATATATTGTGGTTTATTTATCCACTATTGTGTTCGTGAACAGTGGGATTGCTTTCAGGTTATAACTATTATAAATAAAGTACAATTAGCATTCTTTTGCAAGACTTTGTGGACATACGTTTTCATTTATTTTTGTAAAACTAATAGTGAAATGGTCGGATCGTGAAGTATGTGAATGTTTATAGGAATTGCCAAACTGTCCTCTGAAATACCGTTCTGAGTGGCTGCTTCCTCACAACACAGTAGCTGGGTTCCAAAACGAGCACCCGGGAGAGCAAGTCACAAGCACGGCGCTTCTGTGATCTCGCTGTGGAAGTCGCATGGCATCACTTCCGTGTTGTTCTGAGCCCGCCCAGCTTCCCAGACCCCACCTCTCGCCGGGGGTTGGAGTGTGATGCTGGGAGACATCACCGCGGCCCTGCCAGGGAAATACACTCTGCCCGGTTGGGAAGATAAATTAGGTTCCACCCTTGGCAGTCTGGTACGGGAGTCGCTAGAACTTGTCAATCTTTTTACAATAAAGGTGCAAACAAGATTCTAAAATTTAATTCCCTTGAGCAAGGTTTAATATAAAACCCTATTCCATAATAACTTTATGTATTAAGATTGTATAATGGTATTTATTTTTTATTCCTTTTTGTCCTATATTCTACCTGTTAATACTATTTTTAAGGCAGCTTTTTTGCACTATTTTTATTTTGCAGATAAAGCTATAAAATGTAATGTGGATTCATTGAGAGATTCACCAAAAGATAAATCTGAAAAGAAACAGCATTGCAGCTCTTTAAAAGATATAAACAAGGTTGTGTATTTTTAAATGTTCCTTAAATATAAACTTTATATAATATTGATTTTAGAATATTCTCTTTTGAAAGCCATTAGGAACCATGGGATTCTATTGGGAACAATGGATAGAAAATATATTTTCTATTCAAAAATCCTTGGCTATTACAGTTTTTTCATGAAAAAATACAGTATGCATGTTTGCTGATTTTGAAAGAACAAGATAACTCCAGCTCATCTTGTGCCATGTTCTTGTGCCCAGTGGCCTTCCTGCAAAATTGAGTATTTATTCTCATTTTAACAAGAGTGTGAATATCTGGGATTTGGGGAAATTCTAATAGTTAAGTTCAAATCTAACCTGCCCTTCAGTTTCTTTGACAAAACAGGTAGAAGTAATTGCAGAACATTTTAAATACTGATTATCTGAAGGGCCCAGTGTGGTGGCTGTAATCCAGCACTTTGGGAGGCCAGGAGTTCAGGACCAGCCTAGGCAATATAGCGAGACCCTGTCTCTACAAAAAAAATTAAAAAATGAGCTGGGCGTGGTGGCTCATGCCTGTAGTCTCAGCTCCTTGGGAGGCTGAGGCAGGAGGATCACTTGAGCTCAGGACTTTGAGGTTGCAGTGAGCTGTGATTGCACCACTGCACTGCAGCCTGGGTGACAGGGTAAATAAACACATACCTACGTATCTGAAATGCCAGCTGCCTGCTGTTTGAACGTTTCAATCTAGGGGTTGTGGCAGTGCCGTAATTGCCCAACTTTCCAGTTCTTTGTCCTTCCATATCTGTGTGTGCATGAAAACTGGCTGGAATGGTGGTTTATGAGAATAATTCCCATGGAATTTTGGTTCCAAAAGAATATATATCTTGCGAGCATACATATTCTTTCTGAACAAAACTTTTTTTTTTTTTTTACAGTGTGTTGCATCTTCAGCATACTGGCCAACAAAAAGAGGCATAACCATATATGCTGATCCAGATATACCAGCGGCAAGGTACGATTTGAAAATTCAGCGTAATCAACTAGAGATTTGAGCGTAATGTTGTCTTAGACAGTGTTCTGTAAGACCGACGACAGGAAAGTATTCCATTTCCAAAAAAGAGCGGCCCAGGAAATTTTGATTAAACATATGTTAAAGGAAAAATACCGTGATGGTTGGTCAGCACAGTTGACCGAAACTGATGGTGGCTCTAGAGGCCCCTCCCACCTCGCTGGACGAGTTGTTTGTGGAGGGCAGGTGCAACAACGGTTGGCCCAGCGTGATCTTGATGCGCAGAAGGCCGGCGTGGGCCCGATGGCAGTACGAGGAGACTGGTTGCGAGTGGGTGGAAAGCAGAGAATGGTTTGCTGTCTTCTCAGAGTTGGGTACCGAAGGCTTTGACCTTGTCCTCTTTAAGATGCATGTCAGTGACATTAATGAAATCACAGAAAGGATGTTGTGTTATACCACTTTGTGTCAAGTACTAGAACTCAAAATAGTATACTTTCCTTTTTCTACTTCTGGACTTTATGGTGTTGTCATACATTTTATATGTATAATTATATACATAGTATAATGCTAGAATCTATTATCACATTCATTTAAACAGTCCATTATCTTTTAGAGAGATTTAACCAAAAAAATCTTTATATTTACCTGTGTAGTTACATTGGTGCTTTTCGCTTGTTGTATAGATCCGTATTTCAATCTGATATCATTTTCCTTATACCCCAAGGGCTTCCTTTAATATTTCTTATATTGTGAGTCTGCTGCTGATCAACTTTTTTAGCTTTTAAAAAATAATCTATTTGAAAATTTGTTTTAGCTTCATTTTCGAAAATGTCATTTTGCTAGGTATAGAATTCCAGGTCAACAGTGCTTTTCTCTATATTTCAAAGATTTGCCCCACGATCTTGCTTGCGTTGTTCCCAATGCAGTACATACTTTCATCTTTTTCTTTCTTCTCTTTCTTGCTGCTTTGAGCTGTGTAATATGCCTTGGTGTAATGTCGGTCATATTTCTCATGCCTGAGGTTCATTAATGTTCTTCATTTGCAGCTTTCTGTCTTTCTTTAAATTTGGGATGTATTCAGCCATTGTTTCTACATGTATTTTGGCTGCACCAGTCTCTTTCCTCACCTTTTGAGACTCTGATGAAACAAATATCAGGCATTTTGATATTGTCCCCAAGGTCCCTGAGGCCCTTCTCATTTTTTTTTTTTTTTTTTGAGACAGAGTCTCACTGTGTTGCCCCAGCTAGAGTGCTGTGGCGTCAGCCTAGCTCACAGCAGC